TGGATGGGCCGCAGAAAAATTTAAACGTTACTTACAGAATCTTTCTGTCGTTATTTCCCAAAAAAGTAGAACCGTAGACATGGTATTATGTGGATAATAGATACATTTGCAGCGAAACAATTAAAATAACAAGTTAAATATTACCGAAAAAAAATACCTCATCGATTTATTTAACGGTATTTATGTAAAAAGCTATTTTAAGCTAAGTGTTCCGTAGAATTTAGAGTATGTATTGAGTGGTCCGTAAGGTCCAAAAGGTTGGCGACCGCTGCTCTAAAGCGTAACCGTACGGTTTCAAACCGTTATTGTGTGGCCTTGAATTAACTTTTGATCGCAATATCCAAACACCTTCAAGCGATTACAAATAATGTACGCGTTAAAATCGATGCGAAAACCAAAGTTCTAAATCGTCCACTCGGTGTATGGTTGAACAACGAAAACTAGAACGCTAATAAAAATGTTTAGGTGTGCTTTTAGTGTTGGCATAGTAAATAGTAACGAATGAGAAACGAAAACAGGGCGCAATTATGTAATGAACGGATGACATTGAATTAAGTCCGTAAAGATAAGATACCGTATGCCGTTGACGATATTGGACCTCACACATCATACATACCGGTTACTCAACGATAAGGTGTTATTCGTTAATGGCTCGAAATGTTAAAGCTTATCAACATATCGTTAACATATTAACTATTGTACACCACTAAGTTTGATAATTTTCCCTTCGGAAATGTATGTAGATTTTTAAAACACACAACGCAATTAAATAAGTCCGGACCGTTGTTAGAATTAAAACGCGTCGATTCCAATTGGGCCATAGCTGATGGCGAACAATTTAAAAGATAAATCTGTCTGAGGAATACAAGTCTGATTTTGAGGAAAGATATCTCAAGTACTTTTTTCAGATTGCCATTTTAAATGAAAATAACATAGTTCAATGTTTCCCGGAAGGTTTGATAATAATAAAACCACGTGATGACGAAATAATCGATAGTTTTCAGATTACATTTGAAATAATTACATTGACTTTTGTATTGCACATATTACTCCTAAAATTTGAAGTGAATTTTCAGCAAGCACTAATCAAACCGCTAACAGTTATGGAAGTTTTCAAGTAATATTAAATACATTTTTTCACTCAGGACATCCGAATATTTTTATTCTTATTGACATTCTTTTGAGAATAGTCGGATACATACTTGTACAAAAAATTACAAAGCAAAACAATAAAACTATGTAGATATAAACATTGGAAAGGGAACAATTTTCACGGGAGCAACAATTATACAAATAAAATAATTTTCTGATTTTACTTCTGGAAATCAGTATCGTTTAAATTTTTATCAGCAACTCCGCTAACACAAAAGCATTTATGGGATTAGATTAAATTTTACCGTAACGGACTAAAACTCAAAATGTTATCGTACCAACACAAAGCATGTGACACATAATAATAATATTGCTGAATTGATATATTAAATAGAGTAGCCTGTTGACGCGTTCATTGTACACAATTTGCCGTGAACAAAACTGTATTACTGTAAGTTATTTAAGTCTACGCATGCACATATCAAACAGACGAATATGACATGTGTGTACGATGGCATATGATCAAACATTTTTTAAATAACCATCCAAAATAATGAATATGCAATGAGATTTTAAATTGTTCGCCACTCCTTGTGCGCGATTCCGTCAACTCAAAAGTCGTAAAAGAACATAAACGTATCGTGCACGCATTTAACGGGGACATTCGAACTGAATACTGTTATAGTAATCTATATCATGTATACATTTTTACGCATAATAATCATCGACGCGAAACGAATTAATGTTGGTTATAATGAATATCATGCTGAATTTATCATCAATAATCGTTATTTTTGTTTCCGTGTATCTGCTTACGAAACGAATACCGATTGGGCGTGAAATTAAATTATAATAAAATCATTTAAATTCATATTTTTCCCTGATGCCGTTCGAGTACTCATTTTAACAAATGCAATATATGTTTACCGCTGGGCAAGTGTACGTTACGTTCTTCGTCACTGCATCGTAAAATTCGTGAATTGTGTGCTGCAAACGTCATGCTGAGTGTTGTTATCACTAACAAATCTCGAATACGCAAGTAAGCCGCGGGTGTGTTAAGCAGTGTTGTTTCCCAACCTTTATGTTAAGGCGACCCATAAATGTCTTTTGTGTTGTGTAGAATCTACATTGTAGACGACTCTTCAAAAAAAAAAAAAACCTTGTACCCTTTATCGTAATAACATTCCTAATTTAGATATTTTTTTCGTCAACACTTTACGAAAAGCGACCCATCAAAAATATTTTGCGACGCTTACGTTGAGAAACGCTGCCATAGGGTATACACTACATCGTATACTACCGTCAATATTATTTTGAAAATTCAAGGGTATACTACGTATAGTTTAAAGTCTCAAGCACTTCGCGAAGAAGTACTAAATGCGATTAGTTTTACAGGTTTTTATTTTGGCCTGGTTTTGTAGTAGACATTCAATTTCACCTCGGACAATTATACAGTGTACTGCTATGAAATAATTATTGACGGTATACTGCGTGCATTTGCGATGGTATCGATTTATTCAAATAATTTTAATTTCTATTTCTGTAAAAAATAAAAATGTATGTGGTTAAATTTTTTTTCGGTTAATATTTACAACCCTTTCCCGCCACCGTATCTAAATAATAAAAATGACCATATTCAGACACTCGTTAGCTACATCATTGGTGGTTTATGGAATGCGTTCGTAAAACGTCGCAACATGTTGCGAAAACAATCATCAGCTATTACGTACACGAAATTCCCAACGTAAACACAGCTATTGTAAATCATACACTCCATTCACTCATCGCGCACCGCACACCGCGCAACCGCACATTTTGTATTTCAAACTAAAACTCTGTTTCCTTCTCGGTTTTTTTTTCTTTCTCTTTTTTACGTAGTCACGTAAAGTTTTATCGTTTCTCCAACGTTTCAGCTCATATTGTTGTGTACACAATGCGCGATACGTATTTTTCCGCGCCCAAGAGCTGTTATGCAATGAGACCATAGGTTTTTAGATGCGTTACAAGCTCGAGGTCGCGGCTAATGGAATTTTAATTGGTTTCAAGGTTACACGGTACGCGCAGTATTTAACAAATCGACAGTTAACTATGGGAAAAATTCCCTTTTCAATGAGTATACGTTGTATGTGAATACAACTATGATTTTAATAGTATTTTCAAATTATAAGTCAATAATTATAACAAACGCAGATGGAAAAACAATTGGTCGAAGATTAATCATTCATCCGAAGAAGTGCAGGAGCTATTGTTACGATTCATCACACTTTCCACGATTTTCTCCGGCACTAACGCAACGTTCGAATTTAATTCAAATATTGACTTATATTAACTTAATCAATTCCTCAATTCCTTAATTCCTAAATCCTTAATTCCCAAATTTGCTATCACTGGCACGCACCGTTGAGATATTATAACACTAAAATTGTACAATAATTTTGGACGTTTTTTATGATACGTATTTATTTATTTCACAATTCTAACATTAAAACTATACGCTTGTAAAAGTCAAAAAAATATATATTTAATTAACACGTGATACTTTTTATTATTTGAAAAATGTTTGTCACGATGCTACAATAACTTAAAATATTTAAAAAAAAAAAAATCTTAAATCGTACATATAGTAATATACACGACGACGACGATGAAACATTTTCTGACGTTTTTTATTGCGACCTGAAGTTCCGAATAAATGCCGCTATAGATTGTGTAATAAGTTCGATGGATTCCGATAATGTCTGTTCTTAACGTTGCAAATATCTGAGCTGCAAAAGCATTGTAACGCGCTATTGTTGTTCCTCTTACGAAGCACAACCGTGTTACGGTGATACGACACCAGAGCCGTATCGAACCATTTTTTGTATCCTGAGGCAAAACTGAATCAATGCGCCCACTAGTTTGTATGGTTGTTATACTCACAGTTTTTAATATGTATAAGACGATTCGGAAAAATCTGAAAAATTGCAATTAGGTTTCTAGCAAAACAAGAAATAACATTTCTTAAAATAAGTTAATTATTTAATATTTTTGCGACCCCCCCATCTGTACGACACCGATGAACAACCGAATCGAACGCACCGTTGTCGAACTGAATATCGAACGTTACATTACAATATAAACGTCGGACGGCTGACAAACGATGAAATATGAAAAAGCTGGACCAATCGGTGTACAATAATCAAGAACCGACGACCGAAATGAACCGGAGGTACCTCGAGCGTACAAATGGTCTGGTTCCTGAACAGAATGCGAAACCAATTTTGTTCAGCCGTCGAGCGGTTCGCGCGTATAACATCTCCAACGATCGTGTCCGTGCCACGAGCACTGGCCAATTTTCATGGGAACAATTGTTAAAACCCGTTTTCAGCGTTCTCAGCGGTCAGAACGTTTTGTCTGCGAACATCAAATTTGTATAAACAATGTTTAATAATAATAATATTATTATTTATTTTTTCTTTCGGAGGTCATCGCCAAATTATGGTCGATCATTAATGCCCGTGGATATCATCATAACGCTGTATTTAGACTTCAGAAGTTGAACGCAACCAACGGAACAATATTTCATTAACGTTAATGTGTGTAATTATTATCTCGTCAATAAGCAATTCGTAGTTGCAATATAATAAAACGATTATAATCAATCGTCTGTAACTGTAAATCAAGCACGTCTGAATTGAACGATGCTGAACTGTAGTACTGAACTACGGCACGGGCCATCGATACAAAGTACACCATTGCATTGCACAATACACCATTATAATACTGTTGTCAAAATAGTGTTACGTGTTATTTTCCGATGTCCGTATATTATTATCGTAAAATAATTAAACATGTACTAAATCTTTAAGCTAACGCTGATAGGTTTTTAATACTGTATTAATTAATAATGTGTTGACTTTGTGTTGTAGATTCTGTTTTGCACTTTGAACACCCACAAAATAGATATGACTAAACTTCTGGGTAGCCAAATCGGTCTGGATGATTTCATATTCGTCCATCGCAAAGGTAACGCGATAAATTAGATTGACTGAACTCTCTAACGCTGTTCGCAATTAATCGTATTTCGTAGAATGTTGTAATTAATGTATGTTTGTTATCATCAGGCCGACCGAAAGAAATCGAAATTGCCAAGACCAGCGAGGCACTTGGTCTGACCATCACGGATAATGGCTCTGGATATTGTTTTATAAAACGTATTAAGGAGAATAGCATCATTGACAACATTTCGTACATAAACGTGAGTCGAGTTAAATGGGAATTGTTTTTCATAACAACAATTAATAATATACGATATGTAAATAAAACGAAAAATGTTTTTGAAAATAATTTACTAACGTGTATATATATACTTATAAATATTTGTTTTTTTTTTTTTTGTTTAACTGGGCCTTTAAGACCATCCCGTCTCACAAATATATATATATATATATATATATATGATGCTTATTAATATTTGTATGTAAATATTCCCAGTGCTCGACTTGTGGGAGGACGCAAAGGGACGGAGTACCCCAACTAATTTTCAGAAATTTTAGCGTACCCCTACTATTATTATGTTATAATTATAACGCTTAACAAGTTTTAGGGACGCTCTTTTTTTTAAAGTAAATAGAGTCCCCCTTCTTTAATTTTTCCAGGTCGAGCATTGAATATTCCGTAAAAAAGTATAACCTATATATGGTATTATAATAGTGATTGGTAAAAATAAAATATTAATGACTCGAGCAAAAGGATTTGGAACTAGAGATGTTTAGGTATTTTTACAAAATCCATTTAATTTCCTAATACAACACACCATTATTCTCCGTACCTATTAGGTAATACGGTATTACCTACACGAAAAACTCCGTTTGTAGTTACTTCCTGTACGCACCATGATTCGACTCATATCAGTGGTTGACTTTGCATTTTTCGATTCCTATTCCATGAGCCAATAAATTAAAATTGTTACAAAATCAATGAACTAATGATGACTGGGGTGATTATTATCATAGATGAAAACATAGTGATTTATTTCGTTGTACTTTGATTCACAGTACATAATTATATAACCATGTATATTTTTATAATAATAATTATTTTTACTATAGATAGGTGACCATATTGAAAAAATAGACAATGAAACTATGGTGGGCAGAAGGCATTACGAAGTTGCGAAATTGTTAAAAGACATACCGAAAGGAACTGTGTTCACATTGCGATTAATAGAACCCGTCAAAGCTGGATTTTGTAAGTAGTCTTTTAGAAGTAAAATAATTTCAAATTTTCTTTTTATTATCTTTTTTATGATTTACACTAGCAAATATTGAGCCAAGAGGATCAAAACGGGGGAAGATTTCGTACGGCAACGGCAAAGAAACGTTACGGTTCAAAGCCAACGGCGCAACACAGATCCAAAAAGAGGTAAGCGGCATATTAATATTATTAAAAAACAACAACAGCGTAACATTTTTCCCCTTCTAGAACGATGAGTCACAAAAAGGTATTGATAAAATCAATCAACTATTAGAAAACTTGTTGGGAATCAGTGACGTTGAACTCGGTAATCATTCTCCTCCGTGATGATATGTTTTTGAAACAAATACTAATATAAGAATTTTTTTTTTTCTTTTTATTTGTTCCTCATTAATGCAGCTACTCAGATATGGGAGAAAGGCGAAGATAAACTGAATAGCATGGATTTCGCCGAAGCTATTGATAACTCCGACTTAGATGAACTAGGATTTACGGACGACTTCATTATTGAGCTGTGGGGTGTCATAACAGATGCCAGAGCGGGACGTTTGAAAAGCTAACTGCAACTGTTCAATAATCTTCTTCTAATGTATCTCTACTTTTATTTTATGTATTTATACTGATTATATAACACTCATATATATATATATATATATATATATATATATATATATAATGCAATGAAGATGTATTATTTACGTTGTAATCATACGCGATTGTGTACTTAATCTTCCTTGAAAATAATTATAAACGGTACAATACTGAAATACCAAAATTATGACTTAATATTAGTACTCGTTACAGTGGCTCAACCAAGGCGGATGTTTTAAGTGTCTGGACATATCCCTCGAACCGTATTAATGAAAATCTCATCCGATGACTGTTGAAAAACATTTCCTGTTTAATTTTAAATTCACAACGTTAGATATCGTTAAGGTTTAATGGAACGTAGTTAAATATTCACCATGGAATTGCTGTTACTTCACGTGGCGTTATAAAATGGTAATTAACTCAAAAAAAAAAAAAAAAAAATACGACTAGATTTTCTAATTCAAAATGTTGTATTATTGTAACCTTTAATAAATTTACAATAAGCTTTAATGTTTCATCGTTTGACAATTACTTTAATGTAGGATAATATTATAATAAATATTAGACATTTAAAATTCTATAATCATTAACTTTAAAATGAATAAAAACAAAAATTATAGAACCGACGGAAAACCCCCTTAAAAATATTCTAAGTGCGCCACTGGTACTCGATGTAACGTTTACGCGTACGCGAAATCGCGCGATCTATACGTATACTTATTAATTATATGTATACTTATTAATCCGTAATTCACATCGGTATACTTGTAATTAGTAATCACGGATATCGTTTGTTTTTATGATACAGATATTCAAAATTTTACCAGAGAATTTTTCCTTTTGTTAACAATCTTTATTTTAATCGCTTCACCTATAGTAATTTAATAAAATCGTCTTCGTCCATTAGAAATTTTGTAATTCATTAACTTGATTTTACAAATGTTATGTTCTTACTTAGGATTTATTGGTTTTCATTATTTATTTTCATTGTTTCCGAAAAATAGCCAAACATGCTCCGTATAATTATTATACAATAATGAGTTTTCAAAATGAATTACATTTTTCGTCTGTTAATACAATTCCAGTTTAATAATCTTATAAAAATCGCATATATATTCATATATACATACAGTATAGCGTTCCATTATTGATAATAAGTTATATGATAAAAATAATAGTAGTTACTTAATTAGAGATTTAGAATTTAGAATTTCCGAGAGAAAAAATTGTAAAATCTATTACAAAAACGAGAAAATATTGCATTGAATTTATTTTGATTGAATTATTCGGTTGTATGTTTGAAAAAGATAATTCTGATTTTTTTCTACAAAGTTTAAGAGTTTTCATAAACTATTTATTTTACCATATTTATAATCATGGTTATAATACACACGCGAGTGGATATTTTTTTAATTGAACTCTTATTTTCATTTTAATACTTATAATACAGATTCCAATTAAATCTGAAATTGTAATTCATTTTGCTTTTAAAGTTATCATACAGTTTTTGTTTTTTAAAATTTTTTTTTTAATTTTTGAAAAAAGAATTAATTTCACCAATCACGAAACAATCATCAACATTTTATTTAATTTTCATATTCGTCCTGCTGCGGAAATAAAATGACATAAATAAGATTAAATGGACGCACATTCGTAAAAATTACACAAAACACCTACGGCTGTTAAACATTATAATTTATAATTATCACCATTTATACTCCTGTATGTCAGCTTGCCTACTCATAACGCCCAATCAAAAACTATATTGTTTTTTTCGACTTCTATAATATGTGTACAAAGTTTACTAATTTTATACAGTTTTAACGTTTATGGTCGACGACGCTTTACGATTGCTATGCAGTAAAATGTTTAAGATTGTTTAACATGTTTAACATTTTATAAATGAATTATTCAACGAATCACCTGAGTATGTATACCATTTTATACCGAATCCGACCGCCTGCGCTGTAATGTGTAATACGTCCAGCGCATTTTCGTACACTCAAGAACAAAAAAAAGGACGAAACCCTCTAGGTGATTTTTTTTAAATTTTCTCAACGGCGGCAGAAATTTAAAAATCATTATCGTTACCCGCACGAGTCGTAAGTGATTCGTGATCATCATACGAAGCCACGAGAACCAGTAAATTAAAACAACGTACATTCGGTCATGGTTTATTATTATTATTTATTGGTAATATATAGTATATATTTATTCACTTATTTCCATAACACGTTAATTATTAAATAACCAAGAAATCTATCAGTAATGATGATGATGATGATGATAATAATAATAATAAAAAAAAATCGTCGTTTTATCGCGATCCGTTCGACAAAACGTACGTTATTTCAACTTTTACACAGTTTATAATACATCTATTTACATATAAAATGTACACGGGCATTATTTGGTCACGTTTCGCAGACCGTTGTTTTTCTTCACCACGATAATGGTGACCAACATGAATACGCCAATCCACCCCGAGGCGGACAGGAATCCCTTGTAGACGGTGGGGTGTGTTATCGACCAATCCCTAGCGGACAGCGCTCTGAAAGACTCCGTGGACAGCGTGATGGGCAAAATCCAGCCGACCGACCTCAGTATCCAGTGCATACCTTCCAGTGGCCATATCATTCCGCTGAGCATGGCTAGCGGGAAGAAGCTGCCCAAGCCCATGAACGTAGCTGACGTGTCCGTGTTACAGAACACCGACACCATGAACCCTTTGCGCGGGAAAAAAACATCCGTTATTGATGTGTACGGATATATATGTATACTACTCGTAGTAATGGGCCAAACTGTTTGAATTTCGAACTCGACCGAACCCTTGACAATCAATTCGAAATTCGTACTCTGTATGAATATAATTCGAACCGAACTATCAAGCATCTGGTAGTGTTCGAAAATCAAACTCATAGATATTTATCGAACCAGACCTACTGGCAACGATGGTTCAAAAACCAAAGTTGAGTTTGAAAAAAAAATATTTACAATTCTTGTAAAAAAAAAAAAAATAGTTATTTTTGAAAATTGTAAACATTTTGTTGTTGATCCGGATTCACGATTTACTTGCAGTGTCGGAATCTAGGAAACTTGTCGCCTAGAGATCGTAAAAATGCAGCGCCCTTACGTAGATGTACGTACGGGGTATGTTTATGAACGTTTGGTATCTTTCATAATATCAAGAACGCCTTTATACCAACAGCGTCTGGGGCAAGCATACCCATTTGCCCCCCCTCCCCACCATTGGTTGTCAAATGCCACGTCGGTTTTTTACTCACCATAACACATGCCGCTGGTACCAGTTAGAAAGAGCAACGACAACGACCACACCAGACTGCCCACCATGGGGTTGTCGAAGAACACGAACAGCACTAGCATCATCAGAGCCGTCTGCACGCTCAAAACGATGTACTGGACGACGATGTGGGACAACAGCACCTCGGTCACCGTCACGCCTGATAAAAAAATGAAACGTCGATGGTAAAAAAATTACGTAAATTACGGTGTTACTGAGTTCGCAAACGACTTAACAATACGATCGTGTAACATACCGGCGACAAGACTCCGTTCCAACAGTCCTCCCATTTTCTCCATCAGAATCGCTCCCACGGTGAACACCATTGGAAGATAGAATTCAAATCTGTGCACAGGTCGAAAAACAACTGGTTAGGACATTTTTTTAGAAAGAAAAAAAAAGACCTCGTACAATACGCACTGATGTTAAGTAGGTATACAGGAGCGGAACTAGAGGGAGGATGACGGGGATTGCAGGGCGTAAAATTTTATAGAGTGTAATTTCTGTAGTATATAATCTATTATTGACTATTAATTTGATATTATTAACTATGTTAATGAGTACTCAACAATTATGATCGTATGCTAATTATTAAGAAAAAATGGTAGGGACGGTTACTTGATTCTTGGTCTATGGTAGGGCATGATTTTAACATTTTATTCAGGCATACAAATTCCTAGTTCCACCTCTGTAGGCATATGTATATATCATCGTATCATGAATTTACAACTAAGCATCATTATGTCCGTGCTACATGACGTTTGCGATTTAACAATAATAATTCAATATTTATACTACAAAAATCAACTAACAGCGATATGATTGCTGGCGCCGTAAAATGTCCAAAACTCGGATTGTTGTCTCCGTAAATCGCGTCTTCCAACTAGAAAAAACAATGAGTACAGTGACACGCTAATTCGATTATAACGAACGTCCGAAAAACGGTGTACATAATTTTGGCATTATATGCCAATATTAAAACAGACACAAGTTTATCGAAAAAATATTTCATTATCAGTTATACCTTGATTGGTATGTCGGCGATCGCGACGGGCCAACCGCAGTCCCTGAACACGCCGGACAAGAAAAGCACGTACCTCGAAAGCATGTCCCTCCGCAACAGATTGCTCACATATTGGTCTAAGGACAAGAATGAGCACTTTTAGACGAAATCCCAGCACGGTTATACCACACCGTCGGACCTCCGTTTAACAAGACGTTTACTCTTTGTAACAAATTTTCTAATGGAACCATGATCCATTTATTAGAAAACACGTTTCCACTTGACAAACTATATTTCATTTTGTAGTTCTACAGTACATTGTATTGCTATTCGCAAAGATAACGCCCTCGTAATGATTTTAGGTAAAATATGAACAATTAATGTTAATCTCAATTTTAATATCATGTACCACAACTATTAATTTTATTTTGTGTTCTCTCAACTTAATCTGTGTTGAATATAAATAATTGTCTGTTGTCTACTGTACTCCTACCATTTGGTGTGTTGGCATTTTAAAATATACGAAATTTAAACAATTTAACGAACCATACGATACGGGCATACGTCCTAACATTTCCCATAACTAACCTACCATCGTTAATTATTTTAGATTATTATCCGGGTAAAACACAATTACATACGTTCGTTATCGGTGATACTTTTTTAAGTCACACGATTCCGTACGATTTTACTTGATTTTTAACTACACGATTGCGTACGAAGTTTTAAATGTTGATGCCTACTATTTTCATATTGGTATTGGTGTATACCACATACTTATACGAGAGAACTTAAAAAAGTTAATAAATAATTTGTGTTTTATTATTTTTATTACCTATATTTATTGATAATGATATCAAATAAATCAGATATAACGAAATTTCGTTATTACCGTTTATAATATGGTATTTTCCAAGTTTCAGTAAAAGTAGTAGGTTATAGATGTTAAGGAATCTAAATTTAAGCATTTTCAAATAATTTATTAACAATAATTTCATTCAAATAAAAACTGTCGATTTTGTTTATTTATTTATTACTTTTCTTTTATTTAGTTATCCACATTTTATTTATTATTTTTTATTATTAATTTTTTTTATGAACTATTACAGAAATATTAGTATATGTATATGTATAAGTATTCTATATTTATTAGATATAATACGAAGAAATTAATAAATTTGACAACGTTACATACAATTTCATACGAAATCGTGTTTATTTATTTTTCTTACCCACCTTTTTGTTACTCATCTACAAAAACGTACGCAATCGTGTTCTACCCTATTATCCCAACGAAACTTTCACTTTATCCTTCCGAAAAATCGTCAAGTTCGTTAAACAGAGGTCTGATCATATTACACGTATACACGTATCGATATTATCGTTATGTGTGCATTACTCGACATGTCCTGCCATATGTTTACGTCGCTGATGTTTAAGGTCCTCTCCGTCAAATTGTCAAACATCTGGATACGCGCGCCGAGCGCTTCCGAATAACCGTCTTCGAAGTACAACACTCCCCAGATCTTGTTCTTCTTAACAGCGAACTTCGCTTCATCCAGAGTGCCGAATTCGATCTGTTCGAAAACACGCGGCGGTTTACGGTTTTGTTATTATCGATTAGCAATCAATCTATTACGTTCGACAGCGCGACAACACGATGTTGACACAATATCGCATCAATAATAAATACACTAACCAATTTATAGCTTTTGTCGTTCAACTTTTGCAAGTATCGACAACTCAACGGTACGCTGAAGTTGCAACCGCTCGACGGATAACTACTGCAACTCGACATTCCCGTTTTGAGCTCTTCGTTTACTACTCCTAATTTCAGTCCTTGAGGATCGCGACCAATACACGTGCAAAACAAATAACATTGCACAACCGGCAAGATCATCAGGAAACACATAATTCTATGAAAGAAAAAAAAAAGCGTAAAGCGTATAGCGATTAATCATTTTCCGTTCAAATTGCATAACGCAACCGAATTAAATCCAAACTCGTACACATAACAATGCGCATTGCTAACATTTAAATGGGTGAAATATGACTATTAATGGTATCATATTCGATTACGTTTTTGATAATTATTATATGATTTGAATAAGATCAATGACTGAAATTGCAGACGGTTTAAGTACGACTTAGAAAACTATTATTTTGTGCTCCTTACGGTATATTTCTTTTCATCCAATAGAAATTTTTCATTAACTGTGCTAAGATTCTCATTTTTGAACATATGCTGTCTGGTTTTAGAGGTGATAATGGTTTTCTATTTGGCACTGGATATGTTTCGATGTTCTAAGCACAAACATAATAAATTATTACATTTTCAGAAATTCCCTTAGAAATACTTCGAATAAAGTATTTCCAGATATTTTAAATACATTAAAATACACAACATCGCATGTAATGTATTGAATCCTGGTTTATCAAAAAGTATAATGTGGTAGAAAAAAACAAAAGTAAAGTATATTTCCCTGATATTTAATTAATAAAATTTCAAAAAATTAAGATTAATTGGAACGTACGCAATTTTCGTCTTCTCTGTCCATAATACTGCTTCTAGTTTGACGTTTGCTAAGGTCCAAGAAAGCTTGTTCCAAAGTTGAGCAATTGTGTTTTATAAGTAATTGATTGGGAGATTCTTCGGCTAATAACGTACCATCTCTCATTAACCCAATCTGTAATTGTATGATTTTTTTAATAGTAAAACAACAAAAATTTATAGTCATTATATTCTAATCAAAATGCAATTAATAACCAATTCAGAAAACAAATTTAATTGAAAATGAAAATTATGTATGTGAATGTATTTTTATTTTCACATACAATAATGATATGTATTTAATTTTTGATTAGAATGTTGAGTAATACAACTTATAATACTGTTGAACAATTTTAAACAATGAATCGTTGAGGTTATTGAACGTTTTTGAAATTTGAAACAACTTATTAAATATTTTCATTTAGTTTGAAAGACAATTGTGTCGAATATTCAACTGTATTAATTAACAATTAAAACTAATTGTAGAAAATTATATACATTTAAGTATATGTGAGCATATACTATACATATGTATATTATTTAGTATAAAATCCAACCGTATGTGCTTGTCTGGCTTCTTCAATATAATGCGTGGTTATCACAACGGTCTTATTTCCATTTGCTGTCATGTCTAGAAGATGTTGCCAGATACTATTTTAACATAATATTTTACAACGTAATTTATTGATCGACTTTTAAATGAGACCTCTGTTTGTTTATAGTTACCTCGCGCTTAACACTGGATCCACTCCTACTGTGGGTTCGTCTAAAATAAGAAGTTGAGGATCGTGAAGTAATGCAACTGCGAAAGACACCCTTCTTTCTTGACCGCCACTACGAAAATATTATGATTAAACTGCTGATTCTTGAAAAATGTTATCCTACTCGAACTATTTTCATCGAATATTAAAATTTGTTTGTACATATAAAACAATATACCATACTGGTTTTTAAATAACATAATGATTTTAACCACTAATATAGTGTATTAAAAATAATTAAGGACCAGATTTATATGCAAATGCATATATGTATTGGAATAAGCTTTTTGAAATCTGATGATCATTGTCCCCGATTTAGATCTTTCTTATTAAAATAACACTAATTTAATTTTGCATATTTTGCATATTTCAACGTTTTACCTATTAAAAGCATATTCAATGCATATTTGTAGTTTTATAGTGCATATTATTATTAATAGCACATATATTCGTTTTCGTCGGATTTTCACGTTAACAGCAACATAATATCGATAAAATTGCGACCGGTCGTTATTTCTAAAGGTAAGATTACATACTCATATCTCATATTATAGTCATATACAACATATATATATTGACTTGACGACAAAATATTTTAAAAGCATTTTTATACTTTTTTTAATACCATATTGATTAATACTTATTTTTACATTTATAATACATTTCACATAATTATACATAATTTTAAACACATTTTAAGTGAATATCTAAGTACATATTTAAAAATAAATACATATTTTATAGCATATTACAGAATTTTTAGAAGCATATTTTGAGGACTTTTTGTGCATATAAATCCGGTCTCAAGTAATAATTATCGTTGAACAAGTGTACCTTAATCGACTGACGATATTTTTTTCATTTGGTAGTTCTAAAAATGTTAACAATTCATGTGTTCTCGTTTCTATTTGTCTACTAGTCATACCGAATAATCGGCCGTAGTAGTTCATTGTTTCTCTGATGCTGAATTCTTTGTACAGAGCTAGTTCCTAAGAGGAAAAAGTTTGATTAAGTTTAATAGTTACAAGCAGGTATTTTAATAATTTTACTTGTGGCATGTAGCCGATGTTCGATTTCGTCTTGGCTTTGACTTGTATGTCTCCAGCATCGAGCTCACACCGGCCGACCATGCAACTCAATAAAGTAGTTTTACCACAACCACTTGGGCCGAGAAGACCGTATCTGTTGCAAAAAAAAAAAAAAAAATCATACGAATTCGAACAATCAAGTTACGCTGTACAAAAAACAACTGGTAAATATTTTGGCGTGCGGATTACAATGATATTATACTATCTACAGGTATTTATCTGTCCAGTTTGACTAGCATCGGTGAGTGTCCAACTGTATTCATTTACGATTACTTTTGACTTTCTCGTTATGGTCATGATGCGTACCATAATGGGATTTATTTATATTTTTATTGCCTATTAAACCACATGCTAGTCTCATTAAATTTTAAATTCGATAATGCTTCCTAGTAAATATTTAAGTTTTAAATTATTAATTTTTATTAATAAATTATTTATATAAATTAGTACTAATACGTATATTTAATTAACATCGGACGGAGTTCTCTATCGTTAAATTCCAGTTTTCATACTTTCACCGTAACACCTTTATTCATATTCACTTGTTTATTCAAAGAACTTATTTTTACATATTGATTTAAAAAACTCATTTCAAACGAGTGTCTTTATTATATCATTTATATCTTCTCCCCCCCCTATCAAAAAGTACAATATTCGACAAACCCGTAGCGAATAAACACAATTTATATTACATAAATAACACATATTATCGATGAACTCATGTTCTAATTGCCATTGTACGTAAATCATTATTTAATTGTTACAGCTATAATAGAAGTAATTTGTCGCGCTTAATTATGTAACAAATGTAATAATCAAAATTAAAACAACACAATAATTTGTCATCCTATTAGACGTGTAAGCTGTGTTGTGTAACAATGACGTTAAGATGATATCTGTACACATTTTTATAGAATAACGGGAGATTTAATGCTGTTTTTCGCATTACTTGATTTAGTGTGCAATGCCACTTGCAAGTGTTAGAAAAAAGAAAAATTCTGATGTAGAAAGTTTACATAGTAATTATTTTGAAGAAATGTAGGTAATGATGTACAGCGTATTTTTATTCTACCGTTGCATCGACGACCCTGATGTTGCAGTCAAGTAATAAATCGCCTTTCTCTAGCTATGATATAATAGATACGTTTGTTTTCCCAACAACTTCTACCAACTGTCGATTAATAATTGACACTGTATTAACTGTAATAAGCTATTATGCTATAATAGGTAACAGGGTTTGTTCTTTGTACACCATCGGACAGAAATGTTTTGGTCGTTGCCCACTTATGATATAATTATATTTAAAATGACGATAGGGCATTAATTACGAACATGTAGATTATCATTAATTTTCTTTAGGCTATTGCGTTGATTTATGTGAAAATTCTGCAATTGTAGTTGTAGGTACGTGAATATAATTCAATTTGATTTATCGCCATATTGATACGTTTATAGTCCTTGAATGAACTGTTTGTTTTAAAGTCGCTTTATGATAAATATACCTATGTATATTGTATAAGCACGTATTATAAATATTAAATAACAGAACACGGGATTTGAAAAGAAATGTCGAACAAAAATCGAATTCTCTCTCTCTCTCTCTCTCTCTCTCTTATTAAGTTGCATTGTACTTACATGGTGCCTTCGGGTACAGTCATGTTGAGTCCCCTAAGTACGACACTGTACGGAGTGTACCTCTTGTACGCTCCTCTGACCATAATGGCGGCTGGCCCATCGCCTCCATACTTATCACTTAAAGCCATTCCTGGTAATTCCGTGTTCAAATAATTGTGCAGTTTATCAACTCATAACCTGCAATACAATTGATCAATTGTAGTTTAGTTTACAATACGATAATGAATCAATACAAATAATATAGATTATAATTTGTTATTTTGCTCTCATAAAAAAATAATAACAATACCTCTGATAAAATCAATTTTACTAATTACTCATAATGCTAATGTAACAACAATTTTTAAAACAAGAATCAGAAATTTACCGAATTCTTGTATTTTCATCGGCCAACTGTTCTATTACCCACGATATTCACGTTTCAAACCGTTGAAGTTATTATGTCTAATGTCGACAGTCTCTCGATATTTATTCACCGAACTTCGCCACAATGAACAAAAATAATACTTATTACCTTTCACAAGGGTTTTAATACAAATATAGCACAGGTGCCAAATATGAATGTCTACGATAATATTCATGAAATTCGATTTGGCATCACCAGCTGAATCATTGAGAAATTCCGCGTATAGGTTAGGTATCTTATGTATATTATTTCTTCAGTTAGTATACAGTTACGCAAACCCCACCGGAGGTACGCATTATATGCACCTAGGTTATCACTCAGAATAATTCAATCGAAATTTCTTAAACACATTCAAGGCTGTATTATCAGAAACAACATGCGCATAAATTAAAAATGTTTTTGCTGATGATTACTTAATAAGATATTCCACAATACCTTATGTTTAGTATTATTTTATTTCATATTTTGTTTTAAGTTATTAATTAATACATTTTTTATAATATTATTAATTTACTGAGTCAGGGCCGTTGCGATCACAGGCTCAATTGCTTAAATTCGAAAATTATCTCGAATCCATTAAAACCTATGTTAACGTAATAAATTAACAACCGTTATATTACATAATAGTAAATAAAAGATCATTTTTTTGATTAAAATATAAATTATTAAAAAGTGTATAATTTTACCTACTATTAAAGTATACTTTAACAATATCCAATATTGTGTGTTCAATATTTTAACATCAGACATTTATCAGTTGTCCACAAATCTTTAATGTTAATTTTTTTCCAAATCAACGGTAAATCATATTCAGTCAACGATTATAATCGGTTTTCAAATGAATTCACTGACATTTGTAAAAACTAATACACAACAATGTTCATGATTTTGTAATTTAATAAAATGAATGAATTTATAATTAAATCGATGTCCAATACTTCGTCGATAACTTATGTGAATCACATACATACTTCATACGTGATTGACGTCAGAAACTATGGTATACTATTGAATGTACAAACGATCGTTAATACGTGTTTGCACCATAAATTTATTTTTATTAATATTTCTCAAAATATTTTTCGTAGTTTAGAATAAAAATTTTTACTTTTATAAAATTTAATTTTGAAATATTAAAAAAATAACTGATAATTGTTAAGTAACTTTCCAGTAGTTCAAGTCTAATTAAAATCAACATCAATAAATCTTTGAAAAAATATAAACAAGTAATAATAATTTGCATGTATTTATCATAATAAAAACATTTAATTAGACATGACAACTAAAACACGAACTTAATACATTCAAAGTCTTCCAATAACTATTTAAACTCGAGACACTATACGTTACCGACAGAGTTTCATAATTGATATATTGATAGATATTTGAATTTATTTATGGTTTATATTATATTAACTTCTACAAAAAAATAACTGAACTGTAAAAATAAAAATAACTATTCCATATTATATTTCTATGTACACGGATACATCATGGTGTTCTTTTTTATTTATCATGACTGTTATTATATCTCGGTATACGGAATGATTTCTGAGTGAAAGTGGTCAACGTAAGAAACCAGTTGGGTGCTTATAACAACCACGTCTATTACATAATTTATACAAAATATCCAGAGTTAATGACCTAATACCAACTCGATCGGGTTATTGAACACGATGGGTTTTGCCATCTGATGAGAACTTCCGGTATATAACGAATTTGAATACGGTCAACACGCATATACTATTTTGATTCTGTACCGTTTATTTCGTTAGCTTTATCTTAATAATGATAAATTATCTATATCCATACGCACTGCAGGAGCTATGGAAGATTATATAGTCTTCACGAATGTATTACCACAACTTAAACAATCCGAAATCCTAGTATTCGCATTTTGTTATACTTCTTTTTCGTTTTAATAAATGTGGTTATACGATACTGAAAAATCGTTACAAACGATCGCAATTACGATGAATGATAATAATATGATATTCATGTCGAACAAATATTATTTCATATATTTATGTAAAAATCACATATGATCTGTTGATCATAAGTAATGATATACTAATAAAAAGGATTATAATCACCGAAAAAATTGAAATAAAAAAAAACCAATAACGATTTTGTGCGGTATTATAATTATTTTATGAAACTACCATAATATCATGGTTCGACATTCTAAGTTAAATAAATCCTTGCCTTTTTATCTAGCTATTTTTCCGGTGCACAAATCGATGAAAACGTGTTATTGCATAATTTACTAATTAAATTTGAATTAAATAAATGTACTTATCAAAACTTCATGATTGATTTCAAACTTTGAATTAAAAATTAATTTCAATTCTAATCAATGAAGTTAATATCATAATAAACAATAATTTCAAATAAGAAAATATGGCATTATTATTATTATTTTTTTTAGGCAAAAACATACAAATCCTAACAGACTTAATTGAATTAGAAATTATTAAAACTATTACTTACGTACCAAAGGTTGAAACGAACGAGAAAAATTGTCAGAATCACGCGTTTATTCTACGAGACTAGAACATATACTGACAGTACATGTGACGGGATAGCCAATTGCTGATGGTAACTCAGAATGACGTAACCCTTTTACCGTGTCCTTCTTAATGTATTTCTGTTATGAACGCACGGGAAGGGAGATAGAAGAAAACATTGTCGTCTCATCGGTGGATGTTTATTTACAAAATACAATTTAGGTATTGAAGGCATGTCTTCAACAACAAGGCACGCGGATAGACGAGGACGGGTACACCCGGAATTCGCCAAACACTTATTGTACTCGTAATTACGGTTTTAAGAAGTACTCGCATATACTTGACTTGATATTTGTCGATCATTCTAACCACTACAGATTGACTGTGTCATTTGAATATTGAATAATATTAAAAGCGTCCTTAAGCGAATATTGAAATAAAATTGTGTGTACCTACATTGTTCTATGCGTTGTATTGTTGAACATTCATGGATCACATTACTACTGATATAATAAATAAATTTAAATAAAAATAAAACGAAATTATTATTGCATCGAAGTACACAAATATGTTTAACATTAACATATCAATTGAGGAGTGATAATTCAAAATGTGAGTGGTATTGCCAACAAATTAAATAATATTTCTATGAAACAATCTGATTGAAAAATCACCATTAAATTCAAAAAGTGTTTTTGCATCTTTCATTACCAAGTAAAATCGTGTTATTTTTTTTTTTATTTTGTTTAAACCAAAGTGCAGTTCCGCCTGTGTTATTCAGTATAAAACTATATTCCATATTAAAGCAAACCATTGTGTTACCATTCTATATTTAAAATATTAATCAATATAATCATTATTATCAAACTTTATTGTAATTATATCCACCGCTTAAAAAGAGTTCACCCATATAACAATAATAAAATAAAAAAATATTGCATGTGTTAGTACAAAAAATACCACGTTTTGATATTTTGGTAAAAATACAAGATAAAAATATACTTGTTTCGATAATGTAAATTGTTGTTTTTCCATTTTTCACTTATGAATAAGCCTATTTAACCTCATTTTCATTATTAATATAATTTTTTCAATTTGTGAACATTTTGATTTTTTAACTAGGTATATCATATATTGAAGCCCTCCGATTATCCAACAGTAGGATCCTTCAAATTTATTCATGACACCAAGTTGTACACCATCAATCCACAGTCCTCCACACCATACTATTATTATTACTATTGTCGTGTGCACACGAATTCGTCTGCTTATGTAAATTGATCTTTCTTGTTTACAGTTATACCTAACAAATAAACTCAAAACCTTTTTGCGAATTTTCTACAACTCATTTTTAGTGTACGTGAATACAAATAAATATTTTCCGTAAGTTACAAACAAATTGAAAAAATCAATTGTAAAAATTCGTGTACGGATTCAATATACTAATACTAAATTGATAATAATATAGTGGCAAGTATTATGCGACTTCAAAATATACACCAAGCTCGAAATTCAATACATTTTCAATAAACTCTTATTGCGTGAAAACTTTACAAACATAATTTAATCAGGTTAAAAACCTGAGAGGATAATTAAAATACCAAAAAATATTTAGAAAATCTCATAATTGTAAACTATAACACGGAATATTCATCAGAACTCTTTTTGTTGTACTGAGGGTGAATAAACACATTTTTCCAAAAATATAATAGCATAATACTAACTTTTTTGTCCTTGATGAAAAGTCGTTTCTAGGATTTAACTGTTAACGATGAGTTAACAGTGAACTAATCGAATATCTGATATGAGTAATTATTATTTGTTTAAAAAAATTATTTCTTTTCCATATACAGTAACTTACTTACTTTTTTTAGTTCCAATATATATATATATATATTAGCTTAAAACAATTTATTTGATTAAATTACTTTTCTTGGAATGTTTCCACTAAAAAATTGAACATTATGCATCAAATTCAGAAATTGTAGACAACGTTGGTTAATTCAAGTAAAGATTTGAACAATATTAAGATTTCAATTTATATTTATTAATTTGAACAGCGAATATGCTATGATCACAACGAGCTTGAATAAACTTTATGAGTGAACGTAAGAACTGAAAATACGAGACATCATCTCAATTAGAGCATTAAAAATCAATTAATATAATTATTTTTCAGTCGATTGATAAAAAAAAAATTAATAGTCTAATTATTTGATTATTTTAACATTTGAATAGAATAAAACAACATTCTTTATTGATGATACTCATACAATTATTTTTTAAGTATATCAAATTATCATTGGATTTCTTTTAAATATGGTTTATAAATCCTTTTGTCAACCTTGAGGAGTTAAAAATAAACGTTTGAATTATTAATAAGTGTAAATAAATAATAGGCCGTTCCAATACTCATTGTCCTTGGAACAAATCGAATCAAAAATACATTGGAGCATGTGAATACTTTTAGAAAGTTTATCCTTGAATAATTTTTAAGTAAACTTCCTATATTGAAAATATTAAGGAACGAATTGGTGTATCGTATATGGTCATAATGTTGTAATGTAACATTTCGGTTAAAAATAATGTATTTTAGAGCAAAACAATTTTAATATCATTGTCAGAAATCAAACGTGAGTAGCTGAACAAGCGAAGACTTATATAAAGTGGCAAACAGAACTACCGAACATACGCAATACAATTTTAAACGCGAACGAAAAACTTTCTGAACACTAGATCGGTCGATCGGATGAATTGTAATGTGAAATTATGATAGAACCGGTATGACAACAAAAATAAATTAACCGAGTGTGGTGGGCACAAAACAAACGATTTTGTGTGCACAACGCGTGTTGTACGTACGCAGAACGAACGTTTTTTCGGCAGCGGCTTCGAAATCTTAAACAGCGGGTGTTGGGTATCCAAATATTTCCAGCGGGTCTACATTACGCTTTTAGATTACATCTAAAAGTGGGTGGATCGATGGATCTTATGTTTTGAATATGGAAATGTTTCCAGTGTACTGGCACACCGTGTAGATTTTACGTTCCCGTGAACGTCGCGTTAAGCACGTCGGCATGACGTTTTTCGACGTTGGTCGTAACAGCGCAGAACCGAATGCCTTTCCGAAACGATACGCTTCCCATCGATCGTGTGACGGTGGTGATCAACGGTCTCAAGACTTTTTTCTCTCTCCATTGATTTACAAATAAAACCATCGTTGACATAACAGTTGCGACGAAGACATTTCGGGCGATGTTGCAACATCGCCAACCTCTCCGGTTGCCGGACCGGTCGGACGCGCCGTGTGACGGGCATTCCTTCCGGTACGCGCACACAGAGCGTTTCGCATGCGGCGATCGGTTAAAAGCACCGTCGGCTTACACGTTCGGAACGTAGGCGAGAGCTGCTCTGCACGTCCGGACACTGCGCTAATTGCGCACAACTCGTACGGGTCTACTTTCCATTTCCGAATACTGCGCCGCCGAAACGATTATTTCGTTACGTTCGCGCGCGTCGATACGCCGTACCGCGTTGGCGGCGTACGCGCGGTATTTAAAATGTTTGATTTTCTCGCATAAAAATTCACTTGTCCAACGAATAGGTACGATCACAGGCACAACTGGGGGGGGGGGGATTTGACTGGAGCTGAGCCCCCCGGACCAAGATCTGCCCCCCCCCATAAATATTCCATGTTATACTGCATACAGCATACTTAACACACAATAGTGCCACATACAAAAAAACACACATTGCGATAGATGCAACTAGGATCGGAATCTAAAATATATTAACATGGTGTATAAGAGTAAGTGTAATCAACAGGTTATTTTAAGTTTTGGTATGAGGGCTGTAGCCCCCCTCAGATTTTTTACCCTAGTTGCGCTTATGGGTACGTTTGTGGAAGACCGATCTCGTCGCACAACGTTTTTGATGAGGGGTGTCTTGGAAAGAACGGTTTTATTTTTTTTTTTTTTGTTCGGTACGCGTATTCAAATGGTTCCATGGAGAAACAAACAAAACGTTCGTAATTACATGTAGGTAATCGAATGTGTACTTTTTTCGCGTCTCGTCAATAAGTGCCACGTAAACATTATTATAATGACTTCAATAAATTTCCATGGGCTCCGCGACGGACTCTATGCGTGTGTTATTACTATCATCATCATAACTATTAATGCAGTGTAATAGCGTATTTTTAATTTTTTTGTTGTCTCGATGTGTTCTAGCTATTACAGCGGACCGGGAAAACGAATGATATGGCATATGCAGAACACATGGTCGCCGAGTATACGACGGATACGTGACCAAACCATATTGTGACGTTTGTGGATTGCGATGCATTGCACGAAATGAAAAAAAAATGTTTATCATCACCAATTATTAATTTTATTACATAATCATACGTATTTTATCGATTTTTTTCTGTAATCGTATGTGAACACGACGTATTCGTGTACAGCAGAGTTCGACTTGTCTTCTCGTCGTCGTCTTAAAACGTTTTTAATACGGAAAAAAAACCAAAAGGTCCACAATAAACGAAAATCTAATTCAAACTAATTTTTAGCGCAGGAACCGCACTGAAACCCTCATTAGAATGTATTTCAAAACTTGAACTGACACTTTATTTGGAAAGGTTAGTTAGGGTTGTTGAGTCCGAATTGCATGCTAAGTCACAGAGGGTTCTGTCCGAATTGCATACCACGTCTTAGAAGTGTATGTCCGAATTATGAGCCGGAAAGTCATGCGTTTGGGCGAATTTTTAAAAATTGCAATGTGTTTGAGCAATTTAGCATTTAGCTTATTTTTAGAAATTTTTAAAATTTAATTTTTAAGCTATAGATATGTACATACATACGTATGTATTGACATTTAATGATATCCAATACCAGATAACATTATTATATCGATAAGATAAAGTATTGACTATAGAAATAGAGTAGTATAGACGATTAACTTTAAAATTGTATGATGTAATTTCTGAAACATTACCTATTATAGATAAGAAAGGTAGAACTGATGTCAAAATGAGAGGAAAAATGGATTGATAAAATACAGCATCCAAGGATATTCAAAATAAATAATAAAACAA